GTTGGCACTTCAAAGGGAATAAATAGTGGCCGTACAAAGGGAAGCAATCATGTCTCCTGACAGGCCCTCTGATTACACAGTGATAGGAAGTGATAGGAAAAATCTTTCTCCAGTTCCCTTATGTTTTATCATAAGGACCAGTGATGAGATGAAAGTTATATGAAAACTGATGTGCGACTGTGACATCAGCAGAAAAGACTAACATGGGTATAACTTTACACAACCGGTGTCCAAATACACATGTTTACATGCATTGTTTCTAGTTTTATGTTCTGTTCATTCCATTTCTCAGAATTCAATCAACTCTTCAGTACACTAATTATAACCTCATCTGTCAGATTCTAGAGTCTCTTGTCCTCATGACCCAGCTATATCATGATCTTTCTATGGGATCAATGTTTGCATAATTAAGATGAACCATTGAGGTGGTTGATCTTTGCTGCCTCAAAAAGTCCCTCCTCTTATTCCTTGTTGATCATTAACAAAGGAAACATTTGGGAACTGAGCTCTCTTGTAATCCCTGAGTATTGTCTAGTATAGACCACTTTGAGGCAGAGGAATGTGTAGCTCTGATTTTCAGCATGTTTTGAAAACTATTGTTAACCAATCATCAGCCAGCAATGCCTGCACTGGGGATGGCTCAGAAGTTTCAGTTACATCATTGCATCTAGTGTCGTCTTGTTGCCCAGAACATCTCTTTTGCCCTGCCTCTCTTGTAATAAAGGGTTACCATACTGGTACACCAGAAGTTCTGTTCACCTGCATGAGCCCTCATGTTTCTGGCTCTTGCAATTATCATACCAATTCTTGGATTCAATCACGTTATCATCAGGCACTGGCCAAAGGACTTCACCTGTCCTTTGGGCTCTTTGAAAAATCACCAGGATCCTCAAATCAGTTAAGCAACATCAGCTGTGCTTTATGACATCTGATCAATTATCAAGGCATAATTCAGACAATTCATCTCCCACCACTGTCCTACTGACAGAGTACTGTGCATTCCACAGCAAGCAAGCCCTAAATTTTGCTGCAAAGTCCCTAGATTCTTTGGAACTCCTATGCTGCAGATTAAAAAATCAGCAGCAGTTTTTTTTTGGATACTGAACACCAGTGTTTTAAAATGATAGGTTTTCACAGCTTTCACCATGCGTTATTTTAAATACAATTTATTTAAAACGTTTTCAGTTTTCGGTACGCCAAAGATTATTTTTAATGGACAGTGCATGGCAGCTTCATAGAAACTGGCAGAAGAATTCTGGAGGTTTTCGCAGTTGGGTAGGGTAATTTGGGGTATATAATAGCAAGGAGGTAGGGGGGCAGTTTCAGAATGTATGGTAAGCACGTTAGCTGGATATTTCTGCTAAAATGATTGGCAGTAATACATTTAAAAGCTGACAGTTAAATTGTCATCTTTAGTTAAATACCAATGAGAAAAAAAAGAATTTCATCCCTCTCTTAGAACTTCTATTTCACACTCTCAGGCTATGTCTACACAGCACAGTTATTTCAGAATAAAATATTCTGGTATAGCTAATCTGATATAGTTTATTTAAAAATAGCACGTTTACTTTGCAGGGAAGCCTCAAAATTAGTCTGAGGCAGGCTTCCCTAATATAGACATGCTATCTCAATTTAAATTAATGGCCCTGAGGAGGGGCTATTTCGAAATAGCAGAAGTGGAGCTTCTACACACACCTTATTTTGAAACAGCTATTTTTGATAGGCATTATTCTTCATAGAATGAGGTTTATAGAAGTCAGAATAAGCTTATTAAATTTGTTATTTCAAAAATATTTCAAAATAATTTAATTGCTGTGTAGATGCTCACATAGCTATTTCAGAATAATGACCGTTTTCCGAAATAACTTTGGTGTGTAGACACACCCTCAGGGGAACAAAACTATAGCAATTTACATTTGGATGATGTTTTCAAGGTTGTCTGGACAACCACGAAGATCAGAAGCAGAAAAGCCCAAACCAAAAGTCTAGATTTTACAGTTAGGGAGAAATGGTAGAATACATGAAGCCCTGCCAGCGACTCAGATCAAACAGAGGTTCCTCTGAAATAAACCAGAAGGAGAGAGGCAATATAAGAACATAACATAAGAATGGCCATACTGGGTCAGACCAAAGGTCCATCCAGCCCAGTATCCTGTCTGCTGACAGTGGCTAATGCCAGGTGTCCCAGAGGGAGTGAACCGAACAGGTAATGATCAAGCGATCTCTCTCCTGCCATCCATCTCCACCCTCTAACAAACAGATGCTAGGGACACCATTCCTTACCCATACTGGCTAATAGCCATTAATGGACTTAACCTCCATGAATTTATCTTTTAAACCCTGTTATGGTCCTAGCCTTCACAACCTCCTCAGGCGAGGAGTTCCACAGATTGACTGTGCTCTGTGTGAAGAAGAACTCCCATTTATTTGTTTTAAACCTGCTGTCCATTAATTGCATTTGGTGGCCCCTAGTTCTTATATTATGGGAACAAGTAAATAACTTTTACTTCTTCACTTTCTCCACACCACTCATGATTTTTTAGGCCTCCATCATATCCCCCCTTAGTCTCCTTCTTTCCAAGCTGAAAAGTCCTATTCTCTTTAATCTCTCCTCATAAGGGACTCATTCCAAACCCCTAATCATTTTAGTTGCCCTTCTCTGAACTTTTTCTAATGCCAGTATATCTTTTTTGAGATGAGGAGTCCACATCAGTACACAGTATTCAAGATGTGGGCATACCATGGATTTATGTAAGGACAATAAGATATTCTTCGTCTTATGCTCTATCCCTTTTTTTAATGATTCCTAACATTCTGTTTGCTTTTTTGACTGCCACTGCACACTGCATGGACGTCTTCAGAGAACTATCCACAACGACTCCAAGATCTCATTCCTGATTATTTGTAGCTAAATTAGCCCCCATCATATTATATGTCTAGTTGGGGTTGTTTTTTCTGATGTGCATTACGTTACATTTATCCACATTCAGTTTCATTTGCCATTTTGTTGCCCAGTCACTTAGTTTTGTGAGATCTTTTTGAAGTTCTTCATAGTCTGCTTTGGTCTTAACTACCTTGAGCAGTTTTGTATCGTCTGCAAACTTTGCCACCTCACTGTTTACCCCTTTCTCCAGATCATTTATGAATAAGTTGAATAGGATTGGTCCTAGGACTGACCTTTGGGGAACACCACTAGTTACCCCTCTCCTTTCTAAAAAATTACCATTTATTCCTACCCTTTGTTTCCTGTTTTTTAACCAGTTCTCAGTCCATGAAAGGATCTTCCCTCTTATCCCATGACAACTTAATTTACTTAAGAGCCTTTGGTGAGGGGCCTTGTCAAAGGCTTTCTGGAAATCTAAGTATATTATATCTACTGGATCACCCTTGACCCCTTCAAAGAACTCTAAGGATATGTCTACACTAGCCCCCTAGTTCGAACTAGGGAGGCTAATGAGGGTGATAGAAATTGCAAATGAAGCGTGGGATTTAAATATCCCGCACTTCATTAGCATGTTCCCGGGTGATCGCCATTTTGGAAACTGACTAGCCCAGAATAACTGCCTGCGTCTACACGTGAGAGTGAAATGGGAGTTCGAAGTAAACCCCTTAACTCGAATTAGCTGTTACACCTCATTCCATGAGGAGTAATAGCTAATTCAAGTTAGGGGTTTACTTCGAACTCCCGTTTCACTGCCAA